CCCTTAGGAAAAAAAAAATATCGTCGAGTTATGAGGCGTTTATTAAGTGTTGGTTTTGATTTAAGCGGGCTTCGTTATGGCATACAGAATAACACAACATTACATGGGTGACATGAATGTTGATCTAGCCCATAATGAGGGTTCCTTTCGTGTTATTAATACGACGCCACGTGCGACACTCGCGACGGGCGCACCGCGTTATGAACCTGGCGATCTGAGCGTGGTTTCTGACCCACGGCAAGTGACTTCTGAACCGGTGCTGGCCTTCCCCTATCTCACCAACCAATACCGACTGGCGTGGTGCAGTTACAGGTCGACCTACTCCCTCGCCATAACCAACATGGCGTGGGGGGAGTCCTTCGTGCAGAGGTGAGACGACAGAACGCTGGAAATGTAATAAGAAAACTGTGGACTAATCAACTTCAAGCACACGAGAAAAATATACCAAACGGCAGACCGGGGGGGGGGGGGGGGGGCGGGGGGGGGATAACTACGTTGAGAGAGGATGGGTGAAGGTCGGTGATCGACTTCATAACGACTCTGGGAATCCGGAAGAATGAAGCTTGAAGTGATGGCAAGGTACCGTGGCAGTAACAGCATTGGGCTCTGTCTCGACTAATCATAAAAGAGTGTTAACAGATTCAACATGTTCATTAATAGTGTAACACAGACTCCATGTACTCATTACGAGTCAATTTGCGATAAAATTAAAAACCTCGGGGTTATTTGGGCTCGTGTGGGTGACATAGCCCGAGGTGGGACGTGAATTCCAAGTGAACAATTATTAGGAAGTTTATTGTGATAAATATCCTGGCAGTCCGAAATTGCGATAAGCGTACACAGTGCAGCCTGGGGGCTTAAAAGCCAAGATATTCGTGTCAACAGCGATAGAATTGAAACCAGTTCAGAAGCCACAATCGTATTACCTTAACTGACATCCCAGCAGAGCTAGCAGAAGCCACAACCGTAAAAAAAAATGAAATGCACGGCATCTGCGACTATGCTTCACCCTTTTGTGTCATTGCATAATCGTTGAAACACGCATTTCCTGTGGAATTCACATTTCCAATCGGTTTATTTATTGGAAAAATTCTGGAAAACGGTGCCAGGAGTTCCTGTAACAATTCAGGGAAAGCAACTTGAAAATTATATTTGCTTTGCGTCAAGGCAGGCGCTGATAAACATTAACCTCGTGCGCTGGGCGCCAAGCCAGTAATTCGATGAAAAATCACGTTTTAACTTGTAGTTTTTATTCCAGTATAAATTTACGATTGTCTGGTTTCACCATCTCATTTGTATTGCTCTTTGCCGATTCTTTCCTACAACATTTCTATGCTATAAAAAGAAACCTAACTGGGAAATATGCAAAGCATTGGCAAAAGTCGTCAAACAAACGTTCTTACAGGAACAATCTGAAACAGGTAGCGTGAGCACATGCACGAGTTTTAAGCGACGAATTGATGCATTGTTATCTGTCTCATCAAGTTTTTTGGCACATGCCTTCGTGTTCTTCATTAATTTATTTATTTCCCCCCTATTTATTCCAATTGTGCCGTCAGACTCTTGTCATCCGATGCTCTTCAGAAGTCATTCAACATTTTCACTCCACAGAGTTGTGCATCCCGTGTGTTGGAGAAGGGCATGTCGCAGAGACCAAAGAGATGTACACAGGACTTATGACAAATATTCAAGCGGCTTTTAAAAAAAATAATGTATAGTACTACAGTAGCGGTCGCACTTCCATAAGTTCTGCTACGAGATTGTCACCTGGACGGTCAATACTATTATTTACCGTACATATTACAATTTTCTTGTAGCTGGCTATTTGGCCAACTCAATTGCAAAGGCAACTTTCACATCATGCTTTTGTTTTGTGTGTGCAGCCACTGGTGACACCATCGATATGCTACGCTTGGGAACCTGTTTTTTTTGTTTGTTACCAAGGATGGCTGAAATTCGGATTCAAACCGAGGATCTCAGACGTGCCAACTTTGCGCTCTAACCATTGAGCCTCCCTTAAGTGTCCTATTAGATGGTGCAGTGAGTGGTTCACATGCTGTGCTGAAGGAAACCGAGCTCGATCCCCGGCCACGGCAAACATCGCTGGCGAGTGATTCTGAACCCGGCCCCGTCCACCTTCCCTTCACCAGCCCGCACTGACCAGCGTGGTGAAGTATGGGGTGGTGGTGGTAGTGGAAACACCCACCGTGAGACCAACACAGAGCGCGGAGGCCGTCATCCATTCATGGACACCTTAAGTGGAATGAGAGTGGTTGGGGAATTACTCATTTGATTATTTTATTCGGAGGCACCGAATGAACGGTTGTGCACGTGCCGCTCTCATCGTCGCTCTCGGAATTCACTTTGAAACAAAAACAAAACAGCAGGCAGCCTCCCCCTCCCCCTACGGCCGCGCGTGCGTGCGTGCGCGTGCCGTTGTGGTGTGTGCAGAGGCGACGGCTGGAAGGCAGCTCTAGCGAATTGTCGTCTGATGTATGCGTTCGCGCGCGCACGCAGGAATGCAATGGGAGCCACACTGCTGTGAAGCTCGCGTGCTCATTCACAGGACCGCGTTTGTCTAACTTTTTGCCAAAAAGGAAATCGTCGAGCGAAATTGCTATCATCAATCGGGATATAAAGTTAACATTGAATAGAAAGAGGGTAAAAAAATGCTAACTCATTCTGATTATGGAATCAGAATCTTTATTTATCGTGGAGGAATCCGATGAGCTGTGAAGCTCTTTTTCATATCGAGTTACAACAACAAGCGATGCACAAAACGCTGGTTTTGTAATGTGTAGAAAGGGTAACAAAATCACTAAAATAAATAAAAATAGATAAAGTATATAAAATAACAAGAAGCACAATAACGGTGGTTCACACTTGCCTTGGACAGCCATGACCTATCCACTGCTGGATGAAGGCCAGCAATGGATAGGACATACATGTCTTGCAGTGTATGTATGTAGAACTTCTTTCGCACCACGCGTAGCCAACCGTACATACATAAAGAACAAGTGGGGAGTACGTCTTATCTTCTGGACGGTGTTTATGATTTTATTAACACCGGGAAATCACGTTTAGGGCGCGTTTTAATGTCTATTCTAATGTTTGTAGCGTCTTACGATCTGGAGAATACGGTTAAGAAGAAACATCCATAAACAGATGTTTCTACCCCTGTTGTGCCAGCCTTAATAGTTGAGTGCTAAGTGGACTTTATCGACTATAAGTCTACGCACATTCTACAAAGCGATATGTCCAGATAATTGTTCTTACGTGCATATAGGCTTACAGATACGATAGTACATTTGGCAGTCGAGTGAAGTATTTCACATTAATTTTACGGGAAATATTGTATTGTCCGTAATCATTAGCTCGATCTGCAAAAACAGCAAAATGTTTTTATCAGCCAAGATAAACCAGGAATTTTGTTGTTGCAAAACTCACGAACACATGCCCTACCATTGATAAGCTGCTAATCTGTCATCGCTGGGCAAATAAGCCAAGGTTGCGTCTAAAGGTCGCTACAAAGGCTTGCCACATATGAACTTAGCGGTCGGCTTGTGATCTCTTGGCATGCTGTGCAGACATAGCCATGCCGGAATCGAGCACATGATGCAGATTTTGTATGCCCCAGGTTTGGGATTACACTAAAACGCCTGGTACATCGCAATATGCACCTTCAATTCTCTTCACCAGAATATTTGTTGATATAGGCGATGAACGTTAATTAAAAGCAAAATTGAGATACGTGGTTAATGATCAATGCTATGTTCTATAATATGCAACGTTTTTGTACAATCGCCCGTCTTCAGAGCAGCTACTTAGAGAGGCCAGAGATTGAGTGGACATTAGTTTGAGACTTGCACTCAATCTCTGTGGCCTGTAAATCTCTCTGCCATGAAGAAGGCCCATTGCCCAAAATGTTGCCTGTTATATATTTTCATTGTAGTTTTATTGGCAAAATGTGATGAGGTTTTGTTATTTGCGCTTCTGCACCAGTGCCAACATGGTGTCACGTGTGTGTTGTTGAATTCTTCGTTGGCAAAGGGGAGGATGTGAGTGACGGTGAAGTGGTATTGTCTTAGAACAGCGCTGATGAGCCTCTTTCTAATTTTGTAAAACATCTTTGAGTCCTAGTGTCTTCTAGTTGAGATGAAGACATTTCCATTCAGAACTGTCGCAGAAAGCAGGGCATCACACCGTGTCAGGGTATGTCCCCTGGAAGTGGATGTCACAGAGGTCCCTACAGTCGCCTATTATCTACACCTAAAAAATACCTTTTTTGTCATGCGTTGCCAGTGGTGCATAAGCACAAAGAACAAATTCAACAAATGTGTCAATAACACTGCATTAAAAGTAATAAAAAATATAATTGGTGATGTTTTGGTGGAAATCGTCTTCTCATGAACACTCGTGTGGTGAACATTCTCATATGCCCTCTTCTAGAGGTTTTTGGCCCATGGCAATTTATTTGAATATGTTCAATTCCTCCGAGCTGGGATGAGAAAAATAAGTGAAAATCAAAATATTGTTTGATGTTTGTTGTTGTAATCTTTTGGTGACCTTGAGAAGCTGCTTTAATTGGGAGTTGTTGTGTGCAGAATTTCCAGACCGCGGGGGCATGAGCAGTCCTGGCTCAATGCTCTGATGTTGGTATTATCCTTCTGAGCCACCTCTGTTAAAACACATTTTTAAAATGTGGGTTTTCAGCGTAAGCTGCTGCAGTTTGTAAAAATATTGATATATATATTTTTTTACATTCCATTTGGGAACGTTTCTCCACATGCTAGGATCAGTGTTAGTGTTTCTTATTATAGGTGTACGCACATTCCATGCGAAAATATTAAATGCAGGCCCTGTCATATTTTTGTCAGTTATTAGAGAGTGGCATGATTACCCCATGTTGTGCATGTAACATGTTGCCTTCTGAGTAAATATTTCATTATTTTACGTGTAAAACAAAAGCATACTTAATCCATAGATGGCACAAGACGGTGTAAGCTTATGGAGCATAAACAAGTGCTCATTTTTTATTGGTGTTTGAAGTCACTCTCATTAATTTCAAACAGCCTCAGTCAATGTATACAGCCATGGAAGAAAATACCTTCAACTTTTTATTTTTTATTTTCATTGTTTTTTTGATAAAGTTAAGACATTGTTCTGGGGGAGGGGGGGGGGGAACCTCCCTTGGAAATAGGTCAAATAGAACAGAAATGCACTGGCTTTCTTTTAACACTTAATTTAAAATGCATTATTTTTCAAGGCGCTGACAGTACAACTCCAAACAAAGCCCTTTTGTATTGATTTATTTTAACTTTTGATGTAAGCGTTATTTTTAATAGGAATTCAAAATGCAACAGAGATGGCTCTGTGGGAAACAAGGCATGATTGTTAGTTTTACTCACTGCACTCTTTGTTTTAGCCTACATAATTGTGGACAGCTTCCTCACTTGTCACATCAAATTGACATACTCAGTATCTCATTGACGGCCACATTTTAATCATATCCCACAATATAATTCTATGCATTCAGTTTCTACAACTCCAAAACCCTGCAGCAAACCAGAACGGTCCTGTACCCTATCAAAGAACACAATAATTCTGATGGAAGTTCGAACTGATTTTTAAAAAAAGAATCCCATGCAAATTTCGTGGGGCCTTATGAAAGCATGCTTCTACGTAGGTTTTCAAGGTTGTGCTGTATGGTTCTCCGATGTTTTTTGGGGTCATGCCGACAAAGACGTGGAACAACCTGTCAACGCATCGAAAGGGCTCTTGAGAGTATTTTTTTTAATTGACAGAAAAACGGCTAGGGCCACTTGGGTCGAAGCTTCATGGCCATTTGGCGCATAGAATACCAGGAGCCCTTCCAGTTCATCCACACGACGCCGTCGTCCGTGCCGTAGTCCGCCTGCTCCTTGGTGTAGATGCCGCCCCAGTAGTAGCGGCCGTTGGGATTGGCCGCATGGCAGCGATTGTACCACCAACCACCAGCGTCCTCGCGCGAGCAGTGCTTGGTTGGATCGCCGGGGTTCCTGGAGAAGTGAATGATGTTAGAGAACAGCCAGTGACAAAATTACCCGGATCTAAAACTAAACCATAAAAACTATTTTTTTTATTTTACCGGGTAAGGCCCACTGAGCTATACATCTCTTTTTCAGAAGCGACCTGCCCACAAATGACAGGTCAACAAATTGGCTTATCACGTGGAAATTTATAGCAGCCAAATACTCTGAACGCATGTTGTTGAGCCTAAATGTGGAGGACATGGAGAAAAATCCATGCAGCCACGGGGAGAGCATACAAACTCCAAATATACAGCAGCAGGCGTCAGGGTCGGGATCGAACCAATGACCTCCTGTATACCAGGCGAGGTAGTTAGCGTCTCACCACTGTGGAACGTCAAATCTCGGAAGTTAAACAGCATACACAATCAGCTTGTCCTCGGGCTGTGGGGTGACTTGGTGGGCAGCAGAGGGCAGTGTAGCAAAATCCTGCGAGGTACCTATCTTGTTTTATTGCAATCCTGCCCTTGTTTAATTTGTATAATTAATTCAGTGGGTTCTGAGCCGATTGAAACACGTTCGTTCATTCATTCATGCTGTGATAACCGCACCGGCGGAGTTTTTAAACCCTGCTCTTATAATACGCTCTGAAATTATTTCAAAAGTTTCCCTCAACTAATATTGACAGAACACAGAGTAGTCCTTTTTTGCACGCCATACTCTAAATGGGCTGCAATGGGAATTGTCAGCCGCTTCTGGTTGCTCACAAAGTGTAATCTCGGCAAACAAGGTGTTTTGCTTCCCGCAAAACAAGCACCGTGCGGGAAATAGGGGAGAAAACACACGGACACAAAGATCCCCCCGTATAAACCACACAGACTGTTGGGGGCAAGTGCTGTTAATAAGCTCATCTGGGAGGCTGGCGTGGCCCGCGAGAGGGCGGTTATGGCCAGCACCCGGGCCGGCCGCCTTTGTCTCCCCAGTGTCAGTGTCAATGTTTGGGTACTCGTTTTGAAGCGACGAATCGACCTCGGGAAGAGCCCAGGAAAGGTTCGGATATTCACCACCGACGTTGGCCGCGAGAGGGTTATCGAACTCGGGTCGCCGGGTCCGTCGCGCGGCGCGCCTACCGACGGACTGCCGCACACGCGCAGCGCAAGGACGGGGCGGCGCTCGCGCGCGTGCGACCGTTACCAGTTGTCATTGTCTCGGTCGAACGTGCTGAACTGCATGCCGTTGTGGATGGTCATGGTGCGGTTGTCGCCCATGAGCTGCGTGGCTCCTTCCAGCAGCGCGTTGCCCGCGTTCCCGCTGTAATCCTCCACCCAGAGGCGGTAGCCCTGCGCCTCGTTCTCCAGCCGGAAGCTGGCGTACTGAGCGTACACGCTGCTGCCCTCCCAGTCGCTCATGTCGAACAGCACCTGCTGCGTGTGCTGCTTAGTCAGCTGGTGAACGGTCTCCGTGCCCAGCCAGTACTCGCCTGCACTCGACCGGGGGATTGGGGGCGACGGGGAAATCGTCGGCGAATGTGCCGGACGTCCCTACGGGCAGCTGTACAGCGCGGGTCATGAGGTGGCTTGTTTCTGGGTTACTATGTGCATTGTTCATTTGATATGTTCTTGCATTCTCATCGTTTATGCTTGTACTTTTTTCGGGCATTTTTTTTTTAACTTGTACTGAGCGTTGATTTCAAATGCACTAACGTGCAGTGTGATGCCGTGTTGTTAATTTGCACGAAGGAGATTGAGCACTGCCAGATGGAGAGGCGAATCGTTACGAGAGTCATTGAACCAAGTCTCACGGAGTCTCAAGACTTTTTAACGAGAGCCTCAAAAAAATGACCACCAGGAAGAGCTCCGACCGATGATGGCTTGAGACCGTGCGTGACAAGTTAGGTTACCCCGTCGAGTCAGTAACACCACGGTCACGGAACCGAGTTCTAATCGGCGCAGATTGACGATTTTACCCGTTACCTGGAATGTTGCAGATGGACTTCCCGTTATCGAAGGCAATGTTTCCAAATCCAGCCTTGTACGTGTTCCAGTCTCTTGCGAAGTTGGAGCTGCCATCCACTCGGTTCTGGACGACCGTCCAGCCTAGAAGTGGAAATTATTAGCGTCAAAGTAAAACAGGGACTTCGTGTCTCGTGCTCGACAAAAAAACCCAACAACAATCAAAATAATTAAAAGCCGTTTTGTCAAAATCCATCGCAGGATGAAAAAACCCCTCCTCGCCTGTATACTATGGATCTTTCAGGTGGCAAAAAAAAATGTATATTTAATTTTACATTGTTATTTGAACTTCAGAACCATTCAGTAATTCAAACGGGCAGCAACCACCTCCGGATTGAGATCGAGATCTCACCTCCTCCGTGGCTCTCCATGTCGCAGAAGACCTTGTAGGGCTTCGAGAAGAGGTCCGGCTGGATGTAGTACGCTTCGCTTGTGCGGCCACCGTTTCGATAGATGTCCTCACAGTCTGTAAACCACGGGACCACATGCATCCCCATGAATGTTTACAATTTACCCCCAGCCTCCACCGCCAGCAGCTTGATGGGGAATGTCACAGTTTTGATTCGCTATTCAATTCGAGAATTGATTCTTGTTAAGATATTTTCCGTCTCGTTTGAACAGTTTTGCTCGCGCCATTCGCCGAATTGCAATATCGGAATATGTTTAACATATCTGGTAGATAATTGTCACACGCTTGAGTTTACACACGTACCCTGAGAGTTTAACTCTATTTGACGAAACCCTATTATCACATCCTACCCATCACTTTCTCCCAGTTGAAAAAAATTATCTGGGAAAAGGAAAAAAAAATACAAATTAATTTGAGCTGCATGTCAGCTAATATGTTATTTTTTTTTAATCACAGTTGCTGAGCACAAGTGCAAAGACCCAGCAACAAAGAGCACTCCTGAAGTTGTAACGGGTAAGAGTTAATGTGTTTCTTGGATTGAGCAAGGTTAAAAGGACAAGGGAATCGTACAAAGGAAAGGCGTTCCAAAGTTGAGCAGTGCTAGGAAAGAGAAGTGTCTTGTAGGGTCTTGATATGCAACCGAATTTAGAAGCGTAATAAATCCGAATTGTATCGTACAATGATTCGTTTTTGACATAGCGCCCGAGATGCCGGGTCGTCTCGGTAAACATTACATCTCATCACATCAACACATTTGAAAGGGCACGCCCTAGTGGCAGCCATCCCTTGCGGGCACAAGGTGAACTCAACACCTGGCCTGCAAACCGGATTTCAGTCTGCCAGGAGCGGGGCCAGAGGTGGGGGGGGAGGGGGGCGACGATTGCCACCTGCAATCGCGAGCGAGTGAGTTGCCGTGCAAACTCGGCGTGAGCCCCCCCTACGTACGCATTCCGGACACGACGGGCACGTGGCAGTTGACGGTGCAAGGCGCGCTGCACAGCTCCTTCTGCGTCTTGATGGCCTCCTCCATGCGCTGCATTTTGGCTCGCAGGTGCTCCAGCACGGACTTCATGGAGCGCAGCGAGCCGGCCACCGTTGACTCGATGCGGATCTTCACCTCCTTGTAGCGGTTCTCGATCTCCTTCTGCGCGTCCACGTGGGTGCTGCTTCGAGCTGTTCCGTCACAGAGCGGGCCCGCACATCTCGGCGTCAGCTACGCGAAGGTGAGGCTTCTGTTTATTGCTTGAGAGAGTGCCAGGGGCGTAGCTATTCGGCTTGCGTGCGGCACAACTGCACCGGGGCACTACGAGCCAGAAGGCTGAGGCTCAGCCAGCTCAATTATATTAAATTGGACAGGGGCCCAACTTAATTTGGTAGATTGAGTCGCAGTGGCGTCGCTGTCGAGTGTACAGGCGGTGTGACTGCACCAGGGCTCACGAGTGAGAGTGCAGGGGCCCAGGTTCCTCCAGATCATTAATATGAAATTGGAAAATGGGGCCCCCATTTCATTTCTTGTACAATGAGCCATTCCCACCAAGCGACACCAATGGATTGTGCCCCTTTATTTAAAAATTAAAAAAAACTTTGGTAAAAATATAAAACTGTGTTTTAGCCTTAGCACAGTGGAAACCGTCGAATCAAAAGTGAGACCCATGGCTGGGCTTAATTTCAGCCAGGTTTGTCCGGGTCAATGACATGCAAAACAATTAACATCAAGTATTCCTCTTGCTATGGGTGTGATGTAGTGGTTGGAGCCATTCGCGCACTGCGCTATGAACCTGGTTACCTGAGTGCTAATCCCAGCCAGGACTGACATCAGTGGCGAGTGATATTGTAACTGGTCCTACCACCCACCCCTTGCTGCACCAGGGTGGTCAATTATGGTCAAACAACTACCCGTGGCTGAAATTGTATAGGGAGAGATTCATCAACCGTTGACAAAGGCTGCGAATTATTTATAAACTAGCAACCCCAAAAGTACTCAATGAGATCTTAAGCCCTCGAATCCGGCGACCCAAGTTCGATTTCCACTCACGAACAACATCGATAACGAACATCTATTATTATTGCTTTATCTCCATTCTACGTGACTTTACCGAAAGAACCCAGAAGATGAATCCCTGCAGTCACGAAAGCTCTAAATGGAAATAAAAATCTGAACTTGTATTTGGCCCTCCCCTAGGTCGACTCAGCTGTAACATGAGTACCTGGTATGGTGTGTAAACGTCAGCACTGGGGAGACAAGAGGATGGTCGACAAAGGACACGTGCCGTGTCGGGCCTTAACAGGTGCTCGCTGAGAGCACTCGCCCCAAAGGTCTTTAGTAAAAGGCTAGACGGGTGGCGGGGTCCTTGGCCTTTGCGTGTACGCGTGTGTGCGCGTGTGCGTGCGTGTGCGTCGGCGCACGAGCGAGTGCTGCTCACAGTTGAGGCGTCTGCGCAACGTCTGCACGTTCTGCTTGAGCGTGTTGGAGTCGGAGGCCATGCGGTCGAAGCTATTGATGAAGTAGGTGAGGTTCTGCTTGAGCATGGAGATCTTGTAGCGCACCGGGTCGCGCTGCTTGAGGAGCTCCTCGCGCAGCTCGCAGCCCGTTGGGCAGAGCACACCCTGACCCCCCCCCCACGCGCGGGAGACACAACACAGGACACCCATCAAGCCCTGTCCGTTCGTTCATTCGCTAAAAAGTCGTTCGGTCATTCGGTTATTTATTTATTCCATCGGATCGATCGTTAATTCGCTCGATCAATCACTTGCTCGGTAATGTATTCAACTCGTTCATTAATTTATCAATGAGCTCGTTAATTAATTAACTTGTTCGTAAAACAAAAAAAAACGCTCTGTGGGTGAGGTGGTCACGTAGCTCAGGGTAAGATCGCTGATCCGGCACCGCTGAGGGCCTGGGCTCAGAATGTGAGTTTCACACACCCTCGGTTACATTCGATTTTCAAGTGCAGCTCGTTGAAGGGCACAGCATCGTCACCAATTACTGCTGCATTAAAAAAAAATCACAATGGCTTATTTATTCTCTGAAACGTAAAATATTTGGTTTTATTGCCAAGCAATTAAGACATTTTTTTTTTTACAAATTTTAAAAATTTCTCTTCTGTTCCTTACTTACATTAACTCATATTTAAACCAATTTCAGGAGATACCGGTGCATTATTTACAGCGATGCTATATTTTCCTCATGCGATCCTTCGTTTGCAGTGGTGCACAAACAACAAAAACCGAACACATTTGTCAATAACGCTGCCCCAAAGAGGAAGAGCCATAATAGAGCCGGTGACGTTTCAGGCAATGGCCCTATAGTAGGTAGATTAAAACAAAACAACGAATTCTTAGAATTTTTGGTGATCCCCTAAGTCACTGCCACCAGTACCATTGTACACAACTTCTCTTCCCCTCTCGTCATGTCTTGATGTGGTTGTCTGACCATTTGCGTGGGGGTGCGGGGCGGTGGGGGCTCGGGGGGGGGGGTGGGGGGTACGGTCACGGAAAGATCCGACCACGTCCGTCCACGTCCGTCCAATGCTCGCTGAGTTGCATTGGCTTCTGGTTGCCGAACCAACGGTCACGTACAAAGTGCTTGCCTCAAATGAACCGCAGTGCCTCGCTGATTTCGTCAAAGGGCATAAACCGGTCATCCTCGCAGCGGCTTTTGGCTGGCCATCAAACACAGACGGTCACGGCATCGCGTGCTTTCAAACGCCCTTCTGCGGCCGTCTGGAACGCTCTTCCTTCCGATATTGGGAAACCACTGGAGCTATGCACTTTCAAATCTAGATTGAATACACATTTCTTGAGAACTGCTTTTTGTGTTTAGTTTGTCGTCATTCTCCCCGCAACTACGATTAGCACGGTTGGCTACGTGCGGTGCGAGAGAGGTTCAACATACCAATACCCCGCCATTCGCCACAAAGTGACGGTGACGTCACCACGGCGCCTGTGCCAGGCCAGGTGCACTTTGAGGCCATGTGAAGTGTCGAAGGCCCGCTGACAAGTCTCGGGACAGACCCAGGGTGCTATGGGTTGGCTGACTGAGATGACTGCTAGATGCACCAGCTGTACCCCCTACTGTGCCAACTTGCTGCATATACAAAGACAAAAGATACCCGGTATAGCCTTAACAGACCGTAGGGGCAAGTGCTGTTAGCGAGCACCTATGAAGGCCGGCACGGCACACGAGAGGCTGGGTGGCCAGCACCGCGCCCGGCCGCCTTTGCCTCCCCAGTGGCGATGTTTACACATATCGCACCAGGTGCTCATTTGAGGCTGAGTCGATCTAGGTGAGGCCCAGGAACGGTTCAGATAATCGTCACCGGTGTTGACAGCGGGAATCGAACCCCGGCTCGCCAGGGTCTGTAACGCAGCGCGCTAACCACTACACCACCGCTCCCCACCACCGCTGCCCGTACACACGCACACACGTGTACGTACCAGGTCGCTCTCGGGCAGCATGCAGCCCCCCTCGTCGCGGATCGCCTTCTGGGCCTCCTGGCCGGCCTTGGGGACGCTGGTGGGTCGCGGCTCATAACGGCGCCCGGAGCCAGACGCCGGTGGCGGCAGCGGTGGCCTCCTCACCCTGGTGCCACTCGGCAGGGGCCTCACTCCCCTCACGTCCAACGCCTGCAATGGGAACACGAAGCGGTGGTGCCGGCAGCGGCGCGGTTCAACACCACATGCTGGGGGAAGTCATCGCCGTCGGCGACACGGTTGAGGTGCAGCCCCGCGTTTGCTTGTTCACGCCACTGCCGGAGGATGGGCATCCACTGCAGGCAGGGCCGGATTAAGATTGTGTAGGCCCCGGGGATATCAGTGCTGTGAGCCCCCCCCCCCCTCCCCCCCAGTAATATTTTCAAAAGTAAAGCAAATATTCTGTGATTCTTTCGGTAAAGTCACGTAGATTGAAAACAAATTATAATAAAGTTTTTTTTAATTTATCAAGTTTACTTTTATTCCAATTTTTTTAAATCTATCTACGTGACTTTACCGAAATAACCATAGAATATGAATTCCTGCAGTCCCTAAAGTTTTAAGTCAAAGTTTAAGGAAAACAAAGTTAAATAAAAATGTTTTTTTTACAAGGCTAACAACAAATGAAATTCAGCATTCACAAATGAAACAACTTTTCACTTAACCTCTGGAGCCCACCCCCCCCCCCCCCCCCCCCCCAGTTGGCGGTGGCCCCTGGGCTGCAGGCCCTAAAGCCCCCATGCCTGAATCCGGCCCTGCCAGCAGGTAGCTCCAGCGGACGCAGCCTGCCAATCCGGCTACCTTTGCAAGGGTCTCCCCTCGCAGGTCTCTCCTCAGCGTGCGGTCCGAGTACTTACTCACATTGGTTCACTTGCTCGCACGCGATGGATGGAGCGGTCGAGCAGGGGTTAGTGAATTGCACCGTGAACGTGAAAGCGTCATCTGTGTTTGATTCCTAGTCATCATCTGACCTCGGTGGTGAGTGAAATATGAATCCTGCTGCAACCCCCCCCCCCTCCCGCTCCAGATTTTGAATGATTATTGTTGTATTACTAAATGCGTGTATGTTGAACTTCTTTTGCACCGTGCATAGCCAACCGCCAGTGCTAATCGGCGGTGGGTTTGGGAGCGTTACTCACGGCGGCGGTGTTATTGCTGTCGGGGTCGGCGGCCGTATCGTCATCCTAGAAAGAGAAACGCTCGTCAGGGTAAAATGGTCCGCGCATCGTCGAGAGTAACAGCAGGCGCCGGCCGTGCTGCTCATCGTGACGAGCAAATTGACGGAGGAGTCAACATTTCACCGTAAGCTGTTGCTGCTGGGCAAAGCGAATGCTCACATTATATGGTGTTTTGTGATGATAATTACAAAACAGGCTTTCAGATTGAGAGCCATTGGAACTTAATATTGCTCGTCACACAAGTAACAAGAACACATCTGTAGGAGGTTAACTTTGTATTTTTTTTAGGCATCACCCATCAAAATGATGTAAAATCTGTAATTTTAAAATGTCAAGCTGTATGTGAAATAAACGCAAATCCACCAAGAGGTTTCATTGATCAGGAACATAAAAACAACGCCAATATATTTTCTAAGCTCTCCGTCGTATTTCTGGTCTGTACCCGTGATGTTAGATATGAGGTTCGACCCTTCGCTCGAAATGTTGGGGAGCTTTCTCAGAAACTGAGCTAAGTCAGTTTCCACAGGAACTCAGCGATAGCCTTCAATTCCCGAAGCTCCCACCAAGTGGAGCGAAACATCGGACGCCACGCCGAACAGAATAATATTTACATTGGACGAATCCGATGAGCCATGAAGCTCTTTATCACGCGGTACGACCCGAAAACACATCCGAGGGCGACACTTAGCAGCAAAACGGCGAACACACAACGCCGTGATATTGCTGTGGCACGACATCGCTGACGGGATGGGACATTTACCCCGGTATCGTAGTCATTTTCTGGTTGACCGACGAGAGAAAGGTCTTCTGCCGCTGTGAGCGGCAGCACGAGACACAAGATCCAAAACCACTTCATTTCTCTCGTGGTGGCGACCGCAATGTCTACACGCACACGTCTGCAGCGCTCGTCCTGACAGGCCCTGCAGCTAGGGCTCACTTCTTGCTCTGCTGGGAGATCTGTTGTCTCCTTTATACAGGAGCCATTGTTTGCCCAATGATTGATAAGTAACAGAAAGGGCACACGGTGACTCCGATGACCATGCCTGCTTGTGTGCAAACTTTTCGTTTGTATGCTCCGTCGATAATTATTAATCTTTATCATCTTTGTTTATTGATTCAAGCATCACAGAACGTGCCTGTTTGATTATTTTAAAAAAATATGTTTGTGGCAAAAAAACCACGTTAAAATCCCTGTAGTGGAGGCCCTTTTGTTAGCAGCAGCAGCGTGAGGAATTGCAGGGCTGCTACCTTAGCATTACACATCACATAAAAGGATAAGGGACAACCGATTTGCTTATTCGTTCACCTTGCCACAAATGAACCGCAATACCTCGCTGATCTCGTCAAGGAGTAGAAGCCACCGTCACGCTAACGCCGGTCATCCTCGCAGCAGCAGCAGCAGCAGCGGCTTCTGGCTACTCGCCATCGAACAACAGCGGCGGTCACCGCATCGCGCGCTTTCAGACGCGCTTCTGCGGCCTTCTGGAACGCTCTTCCTTCCGATATTGGGAAGCCTCTGGAAGCTATGCACTTTATGTTGAAAACGCGTTTCTGTAGAACTGATTTTTGTGTTTAGTTTGCTGTACTTTCCCCCGCACCTCTGATTAGCACGGTTGGCTACGTGCTGGTGCGAAAGAAGTTCAACATACATGCATACATATTTTTTAGTTGTCGTATTACACAATTAGCCCGACTCATTTTCACTTGCAATTTTGTTAGATTTCTATTCTTTGTAATCGCCTGCCCACGCTGACAAGCCATTTAAGAACAGGTGGCAACACGCACACTTTACCCCACCACACGTGACTTGCCGAATGACTTAACTGTGATCTACCCGTCCGTTCCGCTGCGTGGTCAGATGCGGGTCCAGTTCGAGACACTTTTCCCAATGTTTCCACCTGCAGCCGCTCTGGGAGATTAAAACAACGCGACTTCTGGGTTGCAAACCCAGCGTGCGAAGCATTGCACCACGGCAGTCATCTTAAGAAGATAAAACACGACTCATTTATTTACTCACGCAACAAGCTGTTTTCTTATTTAATCGTGTTAACTTTTTTTCCTCTCTGCAATTTGTTGTTTTGCGAGTGTCGTGTATTGTGTTTTTTTTTGCGGGGGGAGGTGATGTTCGCTTCATATAATTTTTAAAAAGATTATTGAACATTGAAAGCACTCTGTCATGGCAGGAGTCTTATGATGGTACAATAGGAGGATGTTGCCACGCTCTCTGGGGCATAATCTCCCGGCAAACACACAACGACAAAGATCCCCCGTATAGCCTTAACAAACTGTTGGGGCAAGTGCTGTTAGCGAGCACCCTATGAAGGCCGGCACGGCACAAGAGGGGGTGGGTGGCCAACACCACGCCCGGCCGCCTTTGTCTCCCCAGTGACGATGTTCACGCACCACACCAGCTACTCATTTGAGGCTGAGTCGACCTAGGGGAAACCCAGGACCGGATAATCGTCACCGGTGTTGGCCGTGAGCGAGAATCGAACCCGGATGATCCAGGTTCGTAACGCAGCGCAGCGCTAACCGCTGCACCACCGCTCCCCACACCACACACCACGCACTCTTTTCCGGATGAAAGCGCCGCGCTCTGCCAACGCTGAAGCGTTGCGAAACTTATCCTGCAAACTGTGCGCACGCACGGATCAAGATGTATAAATATTTAACTCGATTCCAGAGCACTGATAAGCCTGGCTGCTGTGCGTCGGCGATGTTGGAAGTCGGCGCAAACACAACAAAGGTTTAATCTCGGAAATGGGGGTTTGGCTGCTGCTTGCGCGGCTTATTTGTTCCGTCTCCCTTTTTTTTGTTGCACCATTTTATGGGAATGCTCAGCTGGGTTGGCCGCTAATGATTGTGACCACCTGCGCACACCCGCCATCCAGTGGCCATGGACCCTTTCGGAAGAACAAACAGAAATCGACTGAACAGCAATGAATATTAACAAAATGCACCGCAACTCATTTCCGGCTGATTTTAGTCACGGGGATTGGTCATTGGTCTCGTCGTGTTTCGAACGCTAAGCAGAGTCTCAGGCTGTATGGAAAATGATTGGATGGGTGACCGCCACGTAGAAAATAGGTTGCTACAGGTTGCTTTCGGGGCCATACTGTGGGCTGGCCAAGGGAAGTGCAGGAAAACTCATGCAGCAGTCGACAAAACGCCTGGACATGGACAGTTAGCATCGGTGGTGAGATGTCACGTCAGTCGTCTAGTATGTAGGAGGTCGTGCGTGCGATCCTGACGCCTGTACATTTGGAATTTGGATGGTATCCCCGTGGCCGTGTGCTTTTTACTCTGGGTCCTCCGGTTTCACTCTCAAGATTTAGAAATATTTTGACTTAAAACTTTCGCGACTGCAGGAATTCATATGATTTGGTTGTTTCGGTAAAGTCACGTAGATAGAATAATAATAAAAAATAAAGTGAATAAAATAACTGCCAGTGCGCTCACTCAGGTTAAAAACCAGGCTACAGTCTACATTATAGACTGCCAGTACACTGACCAAGGTTCAGAACCAGGCTACAGTCTACATTATAGACTGTCAGTATACTCACCGAGGTTAAGAACCAGGCTAAAGTCTACATTACAGACTGCCAGTACACTCACCCAGCTTAATAACCAGGCTACAGTCTACATTAGTGTTTTTCTTATTTTTATTAACTTAATTGTATTATTATTGTTTTTCTATCTACGTGACTTTAGCGAAAGAACCAAATAATATTTAGAAATATGCATTTAGAGAATTTGGCTGCTATAATTATCCACACGATAAGCCACTTCGTTGAGCTATCATTTGTAAAATAAAAATAGTTTAATCGTTTTCATAGGTGCAATTATTCGTATTGCTTGCAGATACATCAGGTGCCCAAGTGACCGGGTATTCTTCGGCGGGCTGTAACGATGACTATCAAATATTAATCTAACAACACATTAATCGAAACGTGACTTTAGCGAAAGAACCAAATAATATTTAGAAATATGCATTTAGAGAATTTGGCTGCTATAATTATCCACGCGATAAGCCACTTCGTTGAGCTATCATTTGTAAAATAAAAATAGTTTAATCGTTTTCATAGGTGCAATTATTCGTATTGCTTGCAGATACATCAGGTGCCCAAGTGACCGGGTATTCTTCGGCGGGCTGTAACGATGACTATCAAATATTAATCTAACAACACATTAATCGAAACGTGTGCAAGACTGGGTATTTTTTCTCTATCGTATTTCTGTAATGGGTTAAAAGTGAAGCCTGCAGCCACTAGTGCCCGCTACAAACCCGAGCTCAAACATTCACCAAAACGTGAACGAATAAATCGATACGATTGTATCGAGGCCTTGAATTGTGACAGTTCTTACAATCACCGGGGTGGGAATCTCAATACCCGTAGGGTTCAAACTGCACGTGGGACACTCGGTTAAGTGCCACTGAATTGAATGGAATTAAATGGGAATTAATTGAACGTAATATTCCGCATGGTGTTCCTAGTGCAGCATTCAAGGCAAACCAGTGGGTGGCATCAGTCACTAATGAAATTAAATTATCCGAGCATCCTGCGTTGCTCCCTTATTATAATTTGCTTGTGCGGCAGACCGCCGCCAAAACTGAAATATAAACAGGCCTTTAATATTTAATACTGGCCGCCCAAAGTGTTTAAATTGGACGAAAAATAAATATTCAGGAGGAAATCACAGTTTGAGGTTAAACATTGTCGCAATTACAAACCAATTACTGCAACTTATGCGGACTGATTGCATTTAGATTGGTGCATTTTCTCCCCCGAATTCCCCACGTCCCTTGACGTTGTGCGGTCTTTGGCCAACTTTCGTTCCCTCAGGTGGCATCACTTGACGGAGATTTCCGCTGTCTCCCGTGGCGCTCGTTCCCCTAAACAAGGGGATGAACTTCGGCGAGGGAAAAGTAGTTACCTTGCAGTCTTTGAGTGATCCGCAGCTATGTAACGGTAGGGTGACGCACAAGTACATTAGGGGTAAGGAAACGGGTAAGGAAACTGACTTAAATAAACATTGTTTTCTGGCCACGCATTAATACACACGCATTAATAGGGTTTTCTAATAATGCGAAAAAAATATATCGGCTCACCTTCCCAGCACAAATCCGATGTTTGCACCTCCTTTCCTCTAACTCACAAGGTGATGCCGGGCAACAGTTCAGAAGTAGACATACATCAAATAAGCTTGCAGTGACAAATAGCTATCGTTATTTGGAAGCCTTTCTAGTGGTAGGCCTCATTTGGCCACGGGCCGTATGCAATGAAGTCGTGGGCCAGACACGACCGACGGGTGTTAAGTTTTCCACCTCTGCCCCAAGGACCCTGATGATCATTTGCCACGGTGGCAAGATATTAACTATCTCGCCTGGAATGCAGGAGGCCGTGGGTTCGATCCCGATCTTGATGCCTTTATATTTAGAGTGTGCATCTCTCTCTCCCCGTGGCTGCATTGATTTTTCTCCGGTTCCTCTGGCTTTTCTCTCCATGTTTAGAAACATGCATTTAGAGTATTTGTCTGCTATAAATGTCCACATTATATGCCGCTTCGTGGAGCTATCATTTGTGTTTTTAGTATAATAGTTGCATTATGATTGTACGTAAGTTTACTTATGACTCTTTTTTTCAAGAGGCTCCTGCCACTGCATTGGGTTTGGATTTGAAGCTATTTTCAGCCAAGTAATGACCCGTGGTGGGAGGAAATTGGAGAGCACCTGGAAAAAAAAACCCCCACGCGGATGAGGGGGCAACACTAATCCCCCGTACAGATGTAAACAGATGGCGGTTAGTCCATGTGCTGTACCGCCATCTCTTGGCGAGCCAGGGTATGGCACCTCCTCGGCGCATCATGGAAAGGGAGTTTCACAACATTTGTCCGATCCACCAACACTTCGCTGCCTCCACGGCGCTGGATTGCAATGCGTGCGCCACAACGCCCAGCAAGGACATTATTTAGTTTTAGTCTCCGAAGAGATTTTATCTGAGAATGCTGTTGGGAAAATCAACCGCATTGCCTCGGGCAAAAAAGGGGTTAATTTCGTCAAGAAACAGCGGGACAGAAGAAGGAAATCGGCAGGAATAATTTCCAAAGCATTGTGGTTGTTTTTTTCAGACAGAGCATTGGTTAATTATTAATTTCATATTCACAAAGTAGAAATGATCGTAAACATTTACTTAAAAACCTTTGAAATGCGCTGCTCAAAGACCTTCGCACTCGTGTTTCATCATGTTGGTCGATGCGGGTTTGTGGAACGTGGGGAGCATAGAAGTACTGTAGAACACAAGGATAATTTCCTGGTTTGCTGCCCTCTGTTGAAAAAACACGTAGCACGGCCCTACAGCCACCTGTGACAACCTGTCCGTGCATGGTGGTCACCCATCCAAGCGCTATCCAGGCTCGCACCCGCTTGGCTTCCGAGATCCGACGAGGTCAGTCGTGTTTCCTCGTAATTTGATCATAGATTTGAGTCAAATATTACTCCATTCAGAAAGCGCGATTGCGTTTTTATTACAAGGTGGATAATAAGGTGAGCAAAGAAACAAAAACACCTCTGAATTCATTGAAATATGTACATTTAATTTCATCATTGTTTGTTGTAATTTTCTCGTAGAACTTTGGATGAGATTCTCTGTAGTTTCTGCCAAAGGCTGTCAAGTGCAAAAGCCAACGGTGTGAACATCTGAGCCTCGGCTTCAGCGCTGGGCTGCATTAGATCATTAATGTTGCAGGCGCTGGCTCTCCGGGCGTGTACTCTGTAAAAGTCTGGGTGTGCACGCAAAATTAAGTGCGGTGACAAG